AGATGTCAGTTCGTTAAGGTCCTTTTTAGGACTCATGAGCCATTACGCAACCTTTCTGTCAGACATGCACCGCCTGCGCGCTCCTCTGAATGAACTGCTGAAAAAGGATGCAAAGTGGAACTGGACATCAGCATGCCAGTGAACTTCTGGTGTCAAAACAATGTTGCGCTCCAACTTTCTGCTGACTCACTATAATCCGGAACTCAAAATTATAGTGGCTGCCGATGCGTCAAACCATGGTTCCGTCATCTTGCATGTGTTCCCAGATGGACGAGGAAAAGCCATTACACACGCTGCACGCTGACGAACGTAACTACAGCCAAATTGAAAAAGACGCCCTTGCTATTAATATCTTTGCCGTAAAAAAGTTCCACAAGATGCTATATGGTCGCCACTTCACACTCTTGACCGATCACAAACCGTTAGTCGCGATCTTCGATTCGAAGAAAGGTGTTCCGATTTACTCAGCTAACCGACTGCAGCGCTGGGCTNGATACGACTTCGAAATACGGTTCCGATCCACGACAAAAATCGGTCAGGCAGATGCTCATTCGCGGCTCATTGGCCCTCGAAGTCAGCAAACTGAAGACATCATCATGTCATCATGTTTGTGTCGGTGAAATCGGATATGCGAACCCAAATGACGGACACAATACCGGCATTACCTGTCACTTTAACTGAAGTACAAGGAACAACCAGACAGGATCCTATTTTGCAAAAAGTCGCTCACAATCATCGCACATGTCCGGAGTCCTACAATAGTTTAACCACTCGAGAATCTATATCAATGGTGGACAATTCCATCCTGTTCTCCGANCGTATTCATCACACAGGCACTGTAACGCAGAGTTCTACCACAATTCCACGCTGGCCACCCAGGGATCAACCGCATGAAGGCTCTCGCCCGGAGCTATGTCTACTGGCCTAACATGGACCAGCACGTTGAAGAGCTTGGATGAACTTGCTTCAAATGGGCCCAAGCAGCCAAGGCACCTGTCAAGACCAACCCCCAGCAGTGGCCGGTAGCTCCATGGTCACAGGTTCACACTGATTTTACCGGACCGCTCAACGGGCACCACTTCCTCGCCGTGGTTGACGCCTACACAAAATAGCCAGAAATATACCCAATGGAACGTGCAACCACCGGAGACACCATCAATGTCCTCCGTAGCCTGTTCAGCATGTTTGGATCTCCAGAGACGCTGGTGAGTGACAATGGTGGTCAATTCACATCAACTGTTTTCTCTGCGTTTTATGAACAATCTGGCAACAAGCACGTCCGTGCGCCACCTTACCATCCACAGTCAAACGGTCAAGCCGAACGCTTCGTGGACACCTTCAAGTGAGCACTTCAGAAATCCAAAAGGGAGGGTACTACGGGAGAAGTCCTGGAAATGTTTCTAATAAACTACAGGGCAACACCAAATCCCAATGTCCCGAACAGTGCGTCTCTGACCGAGGCAATGTTTGGAAGAAAAATTCGTACACCATTCGATGTAATCCTCACGGAGCGTCAGAGCAAAACACCCTTGGAAAACGCTAGCCCTACAACAATGGAGCTGCAGTTCAATCGCCGCCATGGTTTGCGAAACCGATCGTTTTTGAGGGGTCAAAACATTTTTGTGAGGGACTACCGGAATAACGAAGAAAGGTAGACACTTGGCTGCGTATATCGACGCCGGGGAAAGGTCATCTACGAAAACTTAGTTGGCTCTGAAGTGTTCGAAAGGTTTATGATCGGGTGGACTGGAAATCGGCTCCCAATAGATTGCGGTTTTCGCCCACCGCCCCGTGGCCTTGCGGGTCAGGCTTTCGTTAGCCAAAGGCCCCGAGTGTGGATTCCCCAAGAAAATTCACCTGCCTTGGCCTGGGCAACCTGGCAGTATTCGGCCCACTAGCAAATCGTGGAGCGTTTTTCTTTTTATTAGGATTATTGTACCACGATTTGTTTGCAACACAGTTTGACATCAGACGTGTGATATATATATATATATATATATATATATATGTATATATGTACAGTGCGTGGAACATCATACGTCCTCCTGTACCATAACTCCCAAATCCCTTTCATCAGTGTCATGCGGCAGTATTTGGTTCCCTAGAACGTAGGAGAAACGAGTCTAATGCCGCATGGAGATGACTCTGCATTTGGAGACTTTGAACTCGATGTCGTTGGCAATTGACCATCGGTGGGCTGCGTCGATCATTTGTTGGAGTGCTATATAATCCTCAGGATATGTTATAGTTCTCTAGATCTTAGCGTCATCTGCAAATAGCAGTGTGTTAGGCCCAAGGACATGTGGCAGGTCGTTTATAAATGCAAGAAGAAGACGAGGCC